TACACTCTTCGTCTAGGGGGGTCTCTCTTCAAATCAGGTCCTTCCTCCTCATCCTGCGCATCACCATCCTCACGAGGAAAGGGTGTCTCGTCTCCAAATTCATCGGCATTGTTATCGTAATCACTGTTCTGTTCCTCACTCTGTGCATCTGCCAAATCCCGATGTAATACGTCATTTTTGGGCAATTAAGTGAGTACGGGTGGTTCAACTTGCTCGTTTTCACTACACAACCAACAAAAATATAAGCTATTGAATTAATAAATGCTTTCCATATGGCTATATTACTTCACTTACAAGTCGTAATGTGATGAAATTCCATGATGGACGTTTTCAATTAGGTGATGACTACCGGATGGGCCACTTGTAAAATTCATATCCGGTCGGGACCTCCTATTAAATATATGAGCGTTAATACAAATTCAATACACCAAAAATATACATAATTAACACAAATAAAAATTGAAGTTTACCACTCGTCTTGTGAATTATGGAAAGCAGGGTATAAATTATTTTCTCGCTGCTCATTCGTCGGGGTGATAAGTTTAAATTAAGGAAAATTCTTTTATCCGGAACCTATCCGGCAAATACTGCTCAAGAATAACCACCCGATGACTGGGGGTTATCTCTATTACGCACAACCTCATTTTTTGGAACGTCTTCGACCTTCACGTACATCTCCAACATTGTGATTACAAGAAATTCCCGGCATTCATCCGGAGTCCTCAGAAAATCACTCAAAGTTTCATCATCGTCGATGTTAAACTCCGAGTAAAAAGCAACCCCTTGCGGAGTGACAAAATACGGACATCTTCCGGTTACTTTAAGTATCACTGAATGTTTTCTCACACTCATTTTTTTGCATAACAACGATATCAATTTATCGTACTCCATTGTAAGTGGCAATTTAACATGACACTGAGCAGGTAAACTGTAGCCCACGGAGTTATTCTCCATCACAACCTCACCCTCAATATAATGAAACTCTTATTCTACGCTCTGCAGACATAATGAAAAAATGCTGGAGAATTTAACAACAATAAACGTTTCAACAAGAGTATGGAAATGGCTAGCCGGGAAATTTTTACGATATACACCTTTTGAATGAATTTCTATACAATCATAACCTCTTTGTATAGGAAATGGCTAGCCGGGATTTTTTTTTTATATATATAGTGCCCAAAAAGTGGGCACTATACGCTTTTGAATTATTGAAGTCAGGAATTATTGGTGGGGCCAGGAAAAAAGTGTATAGTGCCCAAATACTGGACGCTATACATAAAGTTTTATATATAGCGCCGGGTATTTGGGCGCTATACCTGTTAGTGTCAGCTTTTATGTATAGCGCCCAAATACTGGGCGCTATACATTAACGGCACAGTTAACGTTAATGTATAGCGCCCAGTATTTNTCCAAAAGAACCACATTTTGGTTCCGGACTCCAAACTCTAGATATAGCAAACAATGGCCCATTTTCATGTCTTGTACAAAAGACACTTGGAACGCCTCTGGCTGTTTTATAACAAAGGTTGAATATTACCCTAACTTATATATACTGATAATAATAAATTATTTTTATACTATCAGGTCATTTAAAGCAATCAAGAATGAAATTAGTAATCTAAGAAATAAGGCTAGTAACCTTTTACATCACCAATTATGTAAAAAGTCATTTATAATGTACCTATAAGTTAGATCTAGATAATGCAAAGTGATGGGTTGGTTATTTGTTCTACATATAATTTTTGGTTCATACTATGTGGGCTGGTCTTAAAAGAATGGTCGGTGATTTTCCTGTTATCAGGTCACCAATTTTCTTGACCTTCCGACACTAGTCAGGCATCATCCTCCATACATGATCTTATGACTTCGCGAAGACCTGTGTATTTGATAAACAATATAATTATCCAGTTCTGATCACTGCGACCCCTTTGTGAGGAGGACCCCTTATCCTACCCTAAAACTCACTTTTTCTCAAACATGTTGCCAAGCTGCTAGACATATTCAAATTACAATCATGCTTTGAATAAATGAACACTAAATGGCCCCTCCTATAATTTAAAGGCCTATAGCTTCAAGACATTTAGTGGCTCTTCACATTCATGCATACTTAAAAGTCATCCAATTCCAACCGGTGCTTATCTCTTAGTTTCCAACAGAACATGTTCATGAAATCAACCATATCTCAGTCCCAACATATGCTACGAGGAAAGGAAATATGTACAAGGAATATAATCTTCTTGTAGTTAAAAAAAAAAAAGGATTAACAATGAATATTGATATGTGAAGTAATCTTCTCACAACATCAGCTAAAGAAATTAACAGCTCAAAGACTACACTATTTTAACGTAGTACATGTGCTTAAAATCCTAGAGCACATGCAATTCGAAGAGCACATGGATGAGCATAAAAATAAATTACAACTATATATAAATTATATTTTTAGAAGAATGGTGCACAAAGCATTCCTCGTTCACGCAAGGTCCGGGGAAAGAGAGTGTCATATAGATATAGACATGCAAGCATCAGTGACTGATTCCATGACTCGAACCTGTTGACCTATAAGTCACACAACAACAACAACAACAACAACAACAACAACTCAGTATAAGCTCACATGTAAGGTCTGGAAAAGATAATATGTACGCAGATCTTACCCCTACCCTAGAAGGTCATGACCTATAAGTCACACGAATATCGTAAATATACTGATGATAAAATGGATGTACACTTAGACAAGATTGAAATTTGGATTAGATTAGAAATATCACGTCGGAAAGAAGATGGAAATAACACACATTAGGATAAAAACTAAAGACGCCTCCTGATATATAGTCAAACCTAGCTGATATACCTATCTATATCAGCTTGTTTGTTCCGAATATTTTTGGATGTTATAGAAAGGTGCTATTATAGGAAACATATTTTATAACATAACATGAAAATTGGTTCCGAAAAAAGCTTGGCTTTTATAGTAAAGTGTTATTAATAAGAATGTTGTTATAGAGGGGGTTGACTGTAATTAGTGATATAATTGGTCATATGAAAAAGGACTAATGTAAATGAACATAAAAAGAGCCTGAAATGTGAAAATATATAATCTTCTGCATATCCTACACATTTAGTGCAAACATATATTTAAGGATGAGTTTTAAGTTAATATAAGTCATATGGAAAATGATGAAGCACAAGGTAGAAAAACAGAGTTCTAACAAGCACAAAGTAAGCAAGCATGCAAAGTTGTGAAGTCATAAACATTTATGTACAAAGTTAAGTAAGCTAAAAATCCAGATCAGTCAATGATCTGCGCATCACAAAAAAACCTTAGGTCCCTTTAGGGCATTGGTTACAAGATTAATAAGTTGCGTCGAGTATTAATTTCCATTAACTTGCAGCAGACATAGTTTGCCGCAAGCTTCACAAAAATCGTGACAACAACGATTAGCAGTCTCGACAACTTCTCCTAACCAACATGCTCCCCAGAATCAAAACCAAACTTGCTTCCGCCCCAGGCAATGTAACTGTCCTGTGATCCAAACTCCTACAGAAATTTCATGTCGAATAAAAATTAAGCAGAATAAAAGAATAACGGGAGAAACAAAAGAGAAGACAAACCTCATAACTATAAACTTACAAGTTGGCTAAGTCGAAAATCAGGGGGGGTGTCCATGTCTATGTTGGCTGGATCAAGAACCAAATGTTGGCACTCCTCCAAATCCTTCTTCAGATCCTCCGGTCCTAATTGAGCATAATCAGCAAGACTAGGTTTACACTTCTTCTCTTTGTTTTTGTCAGTGTCATTGTCATGTTCATCCCTATTTGGAGATTGGCTCGCCAGGAGATCATCACATAAGGATAGCCCTTCTACAAGTTGCTGAGAATCTAGCAAATACTGTGACTCGCTATCCCACCATTTCGGGTCATCACCAGTCTCGTTATCAACTTTCGTCCCATCTTCATCAATTTGGTTCTCTATGATTTGATCTTGATTCTCGGTCTGATAAGGAAGAGCTCCCATGTCATCTTCTGTGTAATCCACATCATGATACTGGGTGCAAAGCAAGAAGATACATATTAAGAAAAGCATCACTGTACGAATTTTTTTTATTATTGATAATCAGATATCAGGTGCAACAAACTTGTAGTCGCATTCTCTTCTTTGCTTAAGTAATGTCTCATGAACCGAAAAAGAAAAGAAGCTACATGATAACGACCAAGATCACTATTATTAATCATGTGGTTCCAGCAGTTTATAGAATGATCAACAATATTGAATCAATTCCCTCCGGAGTGCACTTCTTTTTTGATAAGTAGATAAGTGTTTACTGATGTAAACAGAACAAACGAGCTGCTCTAACTGCATGATAAAAAAGCCAAAACCACTGGAAATGTACAGTACAAAAGACAAAATCTCAGCTCTGAGAAATTCTAGAATCGTGTCTGCGTCATGTACATCCTCAAAGTTGCACCAACTAACTAATTAAGATAAACCCCTGTACTTCAGTCTAAGTATATTTTCATTTTTCCCGTCTAAAATATGCTTCCATTGCTTTTAGTGCAAGACTAAACTTTTAGAAAGTGCTATCTTCTCTAGTTCTTTATCAATTTCTTGGTTAGTACAGAATGGAGAAGCTTACTATTGGTTTACTCTAACGTAACATTAACATTGACCGGCAACAACAAAAACGTTACACATGGTAATACCTGGGTAGTGGGACTGATGCTAGAAGCGGCAATTTGCTGTCTTGCATCCATACTAGAAGATATCCTCTCACCGCGAGGGGGTTCGGGAGTCACAGACTTGGGGGTATGTGGATCAACCTTAGCAACCAGATAGTCAGCGTCTTCGGGCAATTCTTGTTCAATTTTGTCACCTTGCTTGACCTGCTGCTGCTGCTGATAAAATACTTTAGACACAACATATTCCCCCTCCCTTTCATCTTCCCCGGTTCCTAGGTGATACTGGTGCATCACCCAATTTGTCTTCTCGGCTTTCCCGCCCTTAACTGGGCTTATGTAAAGAACCATAATCTTCTTACAACCTCTTTGAATTCCATCCAAGATAACAGGTTTTGTCCGACCGGTCTTATGCCAACGGACATCGCCGAAATTATCACCATGTATTTTCCTACGCTTACGCGTTCCTGTATTATAAGCCTTAATTGCTCGGTGAAAGAAGTGTGAGACACTTCCATCCTGCTTAACACCTATAAAACATGTATTCAGCATCAACGAAAAATCCATAATAAATCAAAAACAGAAAGTGGAAGAACAGGAATCCAATGTCTTTTTTATATACCTGGTAAATTTTGAGGATGCGTATAGCAGATTCCATCATCTTCATCAACAGTTGGAATGAACTCATCAATAAAAGGATGGGAACTTCGACTGCCAACTTCAACTTTTCCAAGTAAGTGCCAAATAATCTCTTGATCAGTTGGATCAAATTTTACACCTCTTGGTAATCCTGGCCAGTCATTGCTAACCTGGAAAGGCCAATTTTAACGTTTCAGTTAAAGGTACTGTAGCTATCGATTCCCTTTGTTTCCTTTTCTTCTATTCAAATTATTTTATGTTTTTTCTTTTCATTGAGGGAAAGGGGTTCTTGAAAACTTTTCAAGGAAGCCAATTATAAGCAACCACAAACCATCACTTTCATGGCCCAAACTCCTTATCAGACAGAGGAAAATAAAAGCTAAAAACCAGCACTAGGAAACCAGTCCTCTTCTCATAAATTTTCGTCGTCTCATTTTTCCACGTTCATTAGGGAGTCATACTTTTAATTTGTCAAAATATCATCTGCAAAATGCTATAAGATCTCCAAAAATTTGAAAAAAGATTTGACTCTACTGCATATTATTAATGAGAGAAAATAAAAAATGACAAAAAAAAAACCCAAATGAATAAGAGATATTGAGTAAAGCCTTTTAATAGATATACAACAACAACAACAACAACATACCCAGTATAATCTCACATGTGGGGTCTGGGGAGGGTTGTTTCCGATAGACCCTTGGCTCAAGAAAAGATAGAAAGGAAGAGAAGGAAGAAGAACCTTTTAATAGATACGAGTTTACCAAATCACGAACACTTTTGTGGAAAAAATGAAAAAATCGGGGGAGAGGGAGGGGAAGAGAGCAGAGAGATCTTTCAAAAAAGGGGTTATTTTTTCCTTATCGCATAGCATAATATAAGAATTCTCATTAGAGTGCACAGCAAGAAAATCAACAAATAGATTATCAGGTAGAAGTGAAATTCGTGTGAGAAGAATCTTACGTCATTATTGTCGATGATAAACTGGCACTTAGGGCAAGCTTTTGTGGGGTTGCTCTTCCAATTCACTGCTCCAGGATCACCTGACGCACTCTTAATTTTTGTTGCAATTCTCTTACTGTCAACTAACCATGACGGCCTACAAGGCATAACCATAACTATGATCTTGAAGCGCTTTCTTAGTTTCAATAAGGAACTACAGCAATAAAGATGGATAACTTCTAAATATATAGCACATACGATGGAATTAGATAAAAGATCTCCCTTTCACATTTATCCTAAGCATGACAACTATGATGCAGAGATATTTAAACTCTTTTTTACGATAACATTGGTCATCCGATGTATGAAGCTTCAACTGTGCTAATCATCATAGCATGTAACGAGCTATTCAAAATCCATTTGCAATCAAGATTGTAATTAAGAACACCTCATCACCTCTGTGCAAAGAGTTAGAAATACTGAAAAAGGTGAAAAAAGTAGCAACGGTAGAATTCTGCAAGATGTATATCTTCAAGAAGGAGAAACAAAAATTAAAGTAATAAGGACTCTAAAGTTTAACCAACTTAATATACTACAGATTTTAGAAAAATATGACCCTGCTACCTGTCTTGTCACTTTCAGCACTCCAGTTAACAAAACTTGAACTGGTAATGGCAGACAATCCAGATCTACATCTACCTTGGTTTTCAGTATATTTCATATGTGATCCATTGGATATCTGATCCATTAGTCAGTCATTTCAAGATTGGTCTTCCTCAGTCCTCACATCTTAATATCACCAGTGATCATGCTATATAACTACTCATTCATCAACTGGAGTTCATCTCCTCCTTACATAACACCCCTCCAATTTCTATTTCTTTCGACGGTTGGCTTTAAAAAAATCTATGATCTCTCAGAATCTGTCCAGACTTGGTGAAAACTAGAACAAATTGAAGTAAAAAGATCCTTATAGACGATACTGACTAGTTGAAATTAAGCTGTAGTCATGTTGCGTCTTTTTTGTCTTGTAAGAGATTTTTATGTTAGTAGAAAATGCAGAGGATCTCTCGAGTTGTAAAACCCCAAAATATCGAAATGAACGAGACCAAGTGGAGTGAAATGGATAGTGAATATTTGTACAAGTGCAATCCCTCTAGCTTGGAATTGAGTCCTTGAAGCTAAGCTGTTGTTGTTGTATTTGATTCAACTATTTAGGGTGAATTCATCGTGTTTACCACAATAAGCATGGGACAAGGTCATTAGTTTTGTTTCCCTTGTTTACGGCATACTAAATATCCTTGCGAAGAATATGACTTATTATTAAGACCCAAGAGAGAGAAGTAGATTACAAACAAGTACTCTTCCCTTTAGTTCGAAATCAAAGAAAGAAATCCACTAGATTCTTTTGAACAGACAAGCACATTGAAGTTTAAATGAATAACACATTGAGAATTCCACATAATCAGGTGTCACAATCATACAACAAAAAGACTATCTTTGACATTGTCTAGTTTTCAAAGTGAAGATGATTTAAATCTAAAATTCAGAACTTGAGACTCCGAGATCAATACATAATATAAGAAATTTGTCCAAATGGAAGAATTTTGGTAGGTTATTTCATTAGCTCAATCATCCCGAAAAAATCGTAACATCGCATAGTATTACTACATGAAAGAAAACCAAAACTTAACATCCAGCAAATACTAAAAAAAAGCAGAAACATGACAAACCAAGCTTTTCCAGTAAGTACCATAACATTTATATCCAATTACTAAGTAATCACCTATGCCTCAATCCCAAATAAACTTTTTTTTATAACCAAGAAATGCCAAAGTGCCAATAGCGTTTTTTTTTTTATAACCGTGGTCTCCGGTCCAGTTTGCGGGCACCTCAACTAATTCAGCGAGATACCTGCCACCTCACACCAACAACAGGTACCAGGTAACTCTATCCACCGAGAGGCTGGGATAGATGAGAAGAAATTACCTAATGCTTTTTTTCCTTCGTTGGGATTTGAACCTGAGACCTCATGGTTCTCACCCACTTCATTGACCACTAGACCACACCCTTGAGTGCACCAATAATGCACTCAAATCTAAATGGATAATGGGCTTTCCCCTCTACCCTTTTCCACTTAAACACTAGGGGTTCAAACTTGTGATGTGCGTTTAAACCACACATCACTTGCTACGCTCTTAAACTAGACCAAAGCCCGGGGGGCAATCCCAAATTAGTTGGGAACAACATTTGTCATCATCAAAAAGTTCTTTAGACAAGTACAAATACCTCATAAAACAATTATTTCCAATTGGGGGTAGGACGCAGAAAGTTCACAGCTAAATCGAGAAAACAGCACCGCCAATACTATCAAACATGTTTTTTGCTTAAAACCCCCCAAGACCTGGAAAAAGAAGAGTAACAAGCATCTAAGTAACAGGCTCAAATGATTCAATCTATTCTTTCTTAAGCTCCATCACTGAAAAAACTGCGAACATAATTGGTTCTTACATGCTCAGCCCTCTTTGGGTATTCCACTAAGAACCAATAACACAACATAAAGATGCTAACCTCATTCAACCAAGTAAATCCCTTTAAACTGATTCATAGGATAAAAAGCCACTAGAACCACTCATCGAGTATCACTAATTGGTCGGTTTTGAATTTTTAAACGAAAGGACTCTAAATCAAGCCAAAGTATCTGCTCAGGAGAACTCAATAGGCAAATACAACTCTACCTATTCATCAAAATCAAAACTTCATTCCTTGACTTTGAGAATCCAATAACAAGTAAAGAGCCAGACCTCACTCGACCAACGAAACCCATTCAAACCCATTCACTGAAAGGAACCATCAAAACATACTACAACTCTTAAAGCACCACTCATTGGCCAATTACTCAATTTTAAGTTTTTTTGAAGCAAAAGAACTCCAACCTATCATTGAATCAAGCCAAAGTATCTGCTCATAAAAAACTCAATAGACAAATACAACTTTACCTATTCATCAAAATCACAACTTTAAGTCATTCCTTGACTTAAATACCTAGCAGTAGGTCCAACAATATAGTCTTTGTAATAAACCCAACATAGCCCCCCACCCCACNTCCTTATACTTCAAGAATCAACATACATTAGTAAAAATCCAGTCTTTTTCATATCAGTCTACTAATTATATGTATGTAAAAATTGAATCTTTAGAAGCTATAACTTCCTCCCCCCACCAAAAAAAAAAAAAAAAATC